GGCCTGACCCGGGGGCGGAGTGCATGAGACTAACCAGCCGTATGCACCCGCCCCCCGCGCTGTGCTTCGGCCCTGGGCCCCCGGCTTTTCAGCCCACAGTGTAATCAACGTCATACATACATACATACATACATACATACATACATACATACATACATACATATATACATACACACATACACAAACACACTGCCCACTCCCCGATTTCTTCCATTTTTCTGGTGGTCCCCGGTCCACAGGCGGTCATGCCATCGGCGGCCGCACCAACGACCTGTTTCTTCTGGACCTTGGCGCCTGGCAGTGGTCCCAGCCCGCCTTCTCCGGCACCGCGCCCTCACCCCGTCAGGCCTGTGCGCTGTGTATCGGCCACGGCAACCTGCTGTTTGTGCATGGAGGCCGGAACAACTTTGTGCTCGAGGACTTGCACGTCATGGACTTTGTGGTGAGGTGTTGGTGTGTGCATGTGTGTGTGTATGCGTTGGATTATTTGTGGTATGGATTTGGAATGAAGGTAGCTCTGGTCTTCTAAAGGGGGGGGGCGGCCTCAAACACCGGTACATGCGCGGTACAAATGCGCGGTACAAATATACAGCATGCTGCTGTTTTTGTTTATTTTGCTTACAGACCCCACCAAACAGGGGGGGAAACGGCCCCGAAGGACCGATCCTGACTATGTAGAGGTGGCAGTCAGGTTGGTCCGCCCTCCGGCATTTGCAATGTCCCCCCCGCCGGCTGCCGCATGGATCAGCCAGGGATATGTTATTTAAACCCAACAGAGAAGCAGCACCGCGGTATTTTTCCCCACAGCCAATATTTTCCTCCAGGCCCTAAACCCAACCCTAACCCTCAACTCTAAAACCCTGGAGCCCTAGAATCCCCAAACCAAGCCGGCCGAACCCAGATGGATCTCCTCTTAAGCACCGCATCCCCTCCTCCCGCATCCCCTCACATCTTCCTCGTCCTCGTCCTCCTCCACACACCTCCGGCTCGGCTGGCAGACCAAGACCTGGACGGAGATCCCTTGCGAGGGGCGCTGCCCCCCTCCCCGCCATAGCCACCACATCCACGTCCACAAAGACAACCTCTACCTCTTCGGCGGCTTGGACGAGCTGGGGGCCCAGTCCAACGCCATGTTTCGAGTGCACCTGCCGGGAGACCAGCAGGAGACGTACGCAACCGCAAAACCAAAGTGGGTCGAGTGGGATAGTGAGCTGCCGTACAATAAGAACCGTACGGCAACGCTGAGTAACGGCACCATCTCTATTTACCAGGTGGGTGTCGGGAAATGGGTTGGAGGGTTAGAGGGGGAGGGGGGGTGAAGGGGGTGCGGCCCTCCAATGCGGTTTTCCTCCAATGCGAACTTTGCAATTCGCAGCCGCCCGTAATGCGCTCAGCAAACCTGTCGTACTCTGCCGTACACTCCGTTACTCGACTTCTCCGCAGGGCCTGCTAAGCCCCAGCTCGCCCCAGCGCGGTGATCTTCCGTTTTTTCAGCCACTTTAATTCGCCCCTTGCATCTTCTCCTTTTTTTAAAATCGTTATAATTTCTTTGCCCGTCATCCTCCACTCGCTCCCCTTTTTCCAATCGGTCCTTTGCATTTTGTTTACGATTTCCTTTTTTCCCTTTATCCCTTCCCGCCTTTCCCCCTCCCTGCACTTCACACGTGCACAACCGCGTACATACATACATACATGCATACATACACACGTACACACGCCACGCAGCTTGGCAGCAACACGCTGGGCCGTGTGAATGACGACGACGCGGAGAAGGGCCTGGTGTTCTGGGACGTGTTCAAGACGGCCAAGTTGGAGGGCCTGAAGCCCAGGCAGCTGGCTGAGGTGCGTGATGGTGATGGTGGTGGTGGTGGTGGTGGCGGTGGTGGTGGTGGCGGTGGTGGTGGTGGCGGTGGTGGTGGCGGTGGTGGTGGTGGTGGTGGTGGCGGTGGTGGTGGTGGTGGTGGTGGTGGTGGTGGCGGTGGTGGTGGTGGTGCCTGTCTGTCTGCCTGCCTGTCTGTCTACTCGCTCGCGTGTCTGCCTGCCTGCCTATCTGTCTGTATGTCTATCTATCTACTCGCCTGTCTGTCTGTCTGTCTATCTGTCTGCTGACCCACTACTGCCTGGCTAGCTGTTGACACCCCCTTCACCGTGGGGTGTTTCTCGCAGGACGAGCTGCGGCCCAAGAACGCCAAGCGCATGCGGGTCCAGCACACCATCAACACCGCCGGCAAGATGCCACGGAGCTTCACACAGCACACGGCTCACGAGGTCCGGGTGCTGCAGTACGTGCAGGTGGGGGACAGGGGGTGCGGGTTTGGGGTTGGCGGTGTTTGTGCGTGTGCGCGTGTGTGTTATGGTAGGTGTGCGCGTTGTTTGTAATGTATGTATGTATATAAATGGTCTTCATTAGCCAGGGTAGGGGTTGAACAACGCTAGACTGTATCTTTCTAAGAGTTGTCGGGTTTTCCGGTCCGCAATTAGTTCAACCGTTGCGACATCTCGCGTGTCAACTGCCGACTTCGATGTACGATGCGAGTTAGCCGTCATGTGATCATTAATTGAAATTCGAAGTCTGATTTTAATTTCTTGTGATGTACGGCGTGTACTGCAGGACTTCCAGCGCATTTTTGAGGAACTGTATCCGTACCGCCGGCCCTTGTACCTCACCCCCCGCAACGAGTGCGGCGTCCCCAAGTTTGTTTGTACGACAATACGGGCCAGTCAGCTGGTTTACACGGAGCTGTACGACCTGGACGGCGCGGCGCAGTTCGTTGCAGATTTTTTGTCGTACGAGCCGCTGGAGGACCCACTGGTACGGATGTACGGACAAAGGCGCGGGCCTCGTGTGCTTTCGATCGTCCTTGGGAGAGGGCACAAGGCATCTATCGTACTCGGCATCTGTCGTACTTGGCATTCTATTTTCTAGTTCCTCCTAACCCCTTCCCGTTTTGCCTCTGCCGTCCTGCCGCCCTCCCTCCCTCCCTCGTCCCAACTGTCCTGCCGTACAGCACCCGCCCGACACGCTCCCCTCACCTATGTCCGTCCTTGACTGGCGAGCCGGTGACTCATTCGACTTGGCTGTCGTACTCGCGTCGCTGCTTATCGGTGTGGGTTTCAACGCCTACGTCGTCATGGGCTACGCACCGTACGCTGTCGTACAGAACGATCAGCGAAACACGGTCTGTACGGTGCTGGAACGGGAGGCTCAGGGCGCGGCGGCGGCGGCGGCGGCAGCCGCCGGGGCGGCGGCCAAGGTAAACATTATATTTCCTGTCACCTCTGAATCTTTGTGTATTTTGTGGCGAAGACGGAAATTGTGGAGGGAAGGGAAGCTAAAGGATAGGCCGGGGAGGGAAAACGGCCAAAGGGAATAACGCAATCGACTATCATCATTATCATCATCATCATCATCATCATCTTCCGACCCCACCCCCTGTATTTGGCCACCACCACCACCACCACTATCTCCACCATCTTCATCCATCATGTCTCTGTCTCTACCCCCACCCCCCCTCCCACCCGCCTCCGCAGGGTTACGATGCGGCGGCTGGCGGCCGCTCCGGTGGCCACGGCGGCGGCGGCACGCACCGGCGCGCCGGCGAGGGCTCCACCACCAACCCCGCCCTGCCTGTGGGCGCTCTGGCCGGGGCCGCTGTGGAAGTCCGAGCACCTCGCTACGTCGTCAAGCCACTGGCCTCCCTCAAGAGCAAAGTCCTCAAGGTGCGCTGCCGTGGTGCGGTGCATGGATGTAGGGGCCTCTGTGTCTGTCTGTCTGTCTGTCTGTCTGTCTGTCTGTCTATCGGTGTATGTGTTCTTATGATGCTACCCTCGGGAGGAGCCCAGCCGGGTCACACACAGACTGGTGCGGCGTCTGCATGAGCTGCGTGTTTCATGGTGTAATTACACTATTGGAATGTTCATCGACATTTGCACTGTACCGTACTGCACCGTACTGTACCGTACTGCACCGTACTAAAAAAACCGCAGGGTGGCAGGATCGAGACGCCCGACTCCCCCGCCGCCGCCACCGCCGCCGCTGACCGCGCACGTCTCTCGACACCCGGTGACGGCGGCGGCAACCCCGACGACGAGGCCGTCGGCGACCCGACGGCCGCGGCAGCCGCCGACCCGCCCGCTACTGCCGACGGCGGCGGCGGCGACCCACTCGCCGAGGACCACGACGCAGGTGTCTGCAAGTACGTCCACGCGTGGGTGATGGTGCTGCCCGGCAAGCGCGACGTGTCGGAGGCGATGTTCATCGAGCCGTCAACAGGTCGCAAGTACCCGCTGCAGGACAGTCCGTACAAGGGCATCGAGATGCTCTGGAATCATCGCAACTTTTGGGTGTGTTTGCAACAGCCGCAGCCGCACAGCGACTCCCGTGCCGACCCCAAGTGAGTGCGACGGCTGTAGCGCGGAGGGAGGGGGGAAAGGGACTTTTTCTTCTTAGAGAAAAGGAGAAAAGGCTATAGAAATGTTAAGAAAAAGGTTTAAAAACGTTTTTAATAGAGTTTTAGCGCACGTGGGATTTTTGTGAGCGTGTAAAACGCGTATGGGCGCGTGTGGGTGTATTTCCGCATTCCGTCAGCAAATTTGGCCTTGCTTGTGACTAAAGAATCAAGTCAGTGATAGTAACGTGACAGCCTATAAAAAAACTGCATACCATCCTAAGTCCCCAAACACCCTGAAATACGCGCCTCCGAAACCGAAACCCACACGGCTTCCCCACAGGGACATCTCCTACGACCTGAACGACCCGTCCAAGTGGGAGCCCGTGTTTGAGGAGCGCGGCATGAGGGTGAGCTGAGCGGGGTAGCTACGTAGCGAGTGACTGGTTTGGGGTTAATGGGGATAATGGGCAGGGATGAGCGCGCCTTCCGTCAATTACGACCCGACACAACTGACCGCCAACCGAAAACTGCCACTACGTGTGCGTCATGCGGGCAGTGTATTTGTTAGCTTCGTCAAGGAGTTTTCACCTCCTGTTTAACTTCTTCCTCTCCGAGGGGGTACTGTCGTGGCTTCTGTCTGCCTGTGTATGTGTGTGCGCATGGGTCCCGGGGCTTCAAAGTAAAAAATAATCATAGGCTAAAATGACAGAAGTATTGGAAACCGAAAAGTCATCGGTCATATTTCTCTTCCTATGCCTCTCTTGGTGCTCCCTCCATCCCGTCGACCCCACCTCACCCCAACCTACACGCACGCCGTGATTAACCTACCGACAGACATACCTAGCCACCGACAGACATACCTACCCACCGACAGACATACCTACCCACCGACAGACATACCTACCCACCGACAGACATACCTACCTACCGACAGACATACCTACCTACCGACAGACATACCTACCCACCGACAAGCCTACCTACCGACATACTGACATACCTACCCACCGACGTACTGACATACCGACATACTGGATGTTATTCTCACCCGCAGAGCCGCAGTGAGGGCGCCACGGAGGAGTCCGAGGTCCTCCGTGCCGAGGGGGGTACCAGTCGCATACACCGCAACGACTCCACACGTAACGTCAACACCGGCGGCATGGCACTCGGCAAGGGCGGCGGCAAGGGCGGCGGCTCCACACGACTTCAAGGAGTGGGCGGGATGAGTATGGCGCAGAGAGTGGCGCAGCGAAAACAGCTGGCGACGCCAGGCGGCGGCGGCGGTGCTGGCGGCGCCGGGGCCGCGGATACGCCGCCGCGTACGGCTGAGGGTCACGGTGACGGGCTCGCCGGGTTGGGTGAGGACGGCGATGGCGGCGAGGCGGATGTGGTGCCGGACATCCCGCCCAGCTGGGTGCTGAAGCTGACCATTCCCAGGGACGCTTTCGACATGCGCTGTCCTAGGGTGAGTGTAGAGGTGGTAGAGGAAGAGGTAGAGGTAGAGGTAGAGGTAGAGGAAAAGGTGGAGGTAGGGGAAAAGGTAGAGGTAGGGGAAAAGGAAGAGGTAGAGGTAGGGGAAAAGGTGGAGGTAGAGGTAGGGGAAAAGGTGGAGGTAGAGGTAGGGGAAAAGGTGGAGGTAGGGGAAAAGGTAGAGGTAGGGGAAAAGGTAGAGGTAGAGGTAGGGGAAAAGGTGGAGGTAGAGGTAGGGGAAAAGGTGGAAGGCGGGTAACGATGGGGACGTGGAAGGTGGGACGTGGAATACGATAGGTATATAGATGTGGGGCCACATAATGTACACGCTCACTTACCCATGACCCGCGAATCCCTTTCCCCCTCACTCACATTTCACCCTGTTATTAAACACAGCTGCAGGGTTCTTCACCAGGGTACCCAAAAATTTCGGCCGTGTCCGAAACCCTCTGAATAACCTTTCGGGGCCCTCCCCGAAAAATTTCCTGTCAGCCGGAGAGTGTTTTCGGGTACCCCGAAACTGTCTGAAGCGGTTTTCGGGGTACAAATTAGCTGGATTCTTCGTTATATGCTAGGACGGCTGAAAAAAATGCTCTAAAAGGCCCAAAATCCGTTCGGAATGCTCCGGGGCACACTAATTTTCCTTTCGGGCAAAACGCAAATATCTCAAAAAAGTTCGGGCCCGAATCGGGGTGAAGAACCCTGCACAGCTGGCCCCCACCCACCCCCCACCCACCCCCACCTTCCTCAGGGCGTCAAGCTAACTCTGTATCGGCGATGCCAGCACGAAATCTTTGCTCGCTTCGGCGACTGCAGCCGCTGGGACGGCATGGTGGAGAAGCTGACGCTGTACGCGGACGACGAGCGAACCACCGTAACGGAGATCCGGGAGACCTTCACACGCCGGCGCGACAAGCTGAGAGAACGCCGGGTCTACCCACAAAAGGTGCGGAGAGGGGGAGAGGTCGGTTCGCGGTGTCGCTGTTGCGACGTATAGCTGTAGCCTCGATAAAGTATGTGTGCGTGTGCGGTTCTTACATTCTCGTACATCCGTATGGAATTAGCACCAGACATGGCATCAAATGACCTGAAGTCTAAAGCAAGGTTCTTGGCTTGCGCTCGCCATAGAGTCATCGCCGCCTCTTTCCCCCACCAACGAAGCTGCTCCCGCCACGGCTGACGTAGCGTTTTATACTTCATAAAGGAGGAATGACCACAGGACGCGTGTTTTTTGCAATTAATACCAATGCACGGGGACTCCGCTGCTGTACGATGCGTACGGAACGTACGGCATGCAGGACACTACCATTGAGCTGTTTGATCGCGGAAGTGCCTTTGCCCTCAAGGACATCCTCACCGTCAAGAACGACCGTCGCGTGTTCAACTTTTATGCCGCGGCGCGGCTGGATGGCCTGGAAAAGCGGGAGGAGCTCGAGGTAATAAGGTTGTCTGTGTACGGTTGCGTGTACGACAGTACGACATGGGATGCCGCACATATCCCTCCCAACTTTCATGTTCTCAATTACAATTTCAAAATTAATAAAAAGGAAATCCTTCGTGACACGGCTTGTGTCACGTTATGTAAAATGTGGTTTGCCGGTTGGGTGTGTTTCTATCTTCCCTAACCCTTTCACCACCCGTTTTTAACTCCTTCTCTGCCGCATCCTTATAATCCTCAACCCCCGGCCCCTGTCCTCCCCCTATCCCTGACCAAACCCCCCGACGCGAACACGCGCACACACACACACATACACACACACACACAGAACCGCAAGATCATAGAGCACTTTTTGGGGCGCGACGATCGCCTGGTGTACCGCAGCGCCACCTACACTGAGGACGCCGCCACCGCCGCCGCCGCAGCAGCAGCAGCGGGTGGGGGAGGCGCCCCTGGAGCACCTCCGGGGAGCAGTGGTGCTGAGGCAGCGGGAGCCGCAGAGGGCGACCCGGAGGAGTGAGTGAACTGATTCTTCGACCTGAGTGGAGGGGTTGATGTTTAGGAGCTTCCTGATGGGGGTGTGGGGGCTTTCTATGTCTGCATGTCTGTCTGTCTGCATGTCTGTATGTATGTATGTAATGTAAGCTCTCTTTTCAAGATTGCTGGCGGCGGTGGCGGTAGCTCGAGAGGTAGTGGCTTTTACTTTTACTGCTGACCGAACTGCTGAAAGGTTGACTGGGCAGTGCGGTGAGACCACGTGTCTCCATCACCGGCGCCATGTTGTCTCAGTTCATCGACAGCTCTTCTCTCTCCTCTTAGATCCCTCCTCCCCCTTTCCTGTCTTACCTGCCGACAAATATCCTCCTTCCTGCCACTTTCCCCCTCCTCCTCCTCCTTTCCCTCTTCCTCTCCCACCCGTCCTAATTTTTTAATCGCCGCCGCCCAACGTGACCCTGTCCCGCAGGGACGCCGCACGCCGCACACGCAAAACACGCAACCGGGGGGGCGACAAGCGCATGCTGCCCATCCGCAAGATGACGGAGAAGTTCGCTCGCAACCCCGCTCTGTCGGCGGATGTGGATGTCGCCAAACGCGTGTACTACCTGACAGAGGGCCGCATGAGAGTGGAGTACCACTTCGGAACGAACCGCATCACCAACTCCAGCCGCTCGTTTACGAAAGATGGTCAGAGCCAAATCGTGCAGGTGAGCAGCTCCTGCTGCGGTGAAGGGGGATGGTCTGAGGGTAGAATTTGTGTTTTTTCAGGGTGTTTTTTATGGGGGGGGAAGAAGGCGTTCGTACACGCTTTCAGTTTATATTTATTGCATGTTATCATTCGTACACATTCGTACAGTTGTAGCAAGTTATTTACTCGTACGTCTCGTACTCCGTACGCAGGTGGATCCTCTGGCGCCGCGGCCACAGCCGGCAGCGCTGCTCGAGGAGTACAGCGCTCTTTTGGTGGCGGAGAAGGACTGTCTTCAGTCGGTACGGGATAGTGAGTGGGAGATCTCGGAGATCACCCGTACCCGTACGAACCAGGAGCAGAATATCACTCTGGAAACGCCGTACTACGACATCGTACGGATCAAGGCGGAGGAGAGCGAGGAGGTACGGCATGGCAGTGGTGGCAATTGATATGTGGGTGGATTGTACGGCTAGCTCCGAACCACCACGATGGTGTGTGCCACGGTGCTGAGATTCGTCGTGAAATGTTGCTGGAAGTGGCGCTGGCGGTGGCGACGGTGGCGGCGCGGTCGTACTCTAGACGGAACGAGAACGAGAACTCAGCACAACAACCATTCACGCTCCTATCATCACCAGTGAAACCCCACAATTCCAAAATGTTCCCAGCCCGTTGGCTAAGGGCCTACAGCTACGATGCTAATCCTCATCTCCTCCCCCCTCTTTCCACCACCTCCCTTTTACTTCCCCTCTTTTTCATACGATTGCTTTGCCTTCCCATTGTTCTTTAGGAGGAGGAGGAAGCGGCAGAGGCGGCGTACGACTACCTGTCCCCCTTCCTGCCGACCTTGCTGGGCACCCAACAGCTCACCCGCACCCAGGCGTTGGAGGTTCGGGAGAAGGCGCTCAAGGCGCTCAAGGACCGCCTAATCGAGCGAGCGAACATCATCCAGGTGGGAAGGAGGAGGTATTGAATGGATGGGCGGATGGGTGAGGTAGGTGAAGAAGACTTATTACGAGTGCGGATGGGTTGGTGTGTGTATGTATGTGTGTCTTGCACGTGTGCACCTGTGATAACCCGGGCTTGAGGTGGCTGGGTAAAGACCGCGAAATACACATCATAACACGCGCCATCAAGCACACACGCACCCACGTGATCACACCGCCCTGGAATCCCTTCCTCCATTCAACCGTCGAACCAGGCCCGTTTGGACGAGGAGACCGCCGCCCTGGCCAAGCGGCAGCAGACATTCCACCGCGACCGCGACCAGATGACGGCTGCAGAGGAGGAAGAGTACGAGCGGCAGACGGAGGAGTCCATGTTCCGGATCCATATCCTGGAGAGGCGGCTAAGGCGCCACGAGGAGCAGGCGCTGCACAAGTACTACGAACTGGACGCCAAGTTGAGAGGCGACCCAAGACTGCAGGCGCTGTTGAACGTCTACTGAGGTTCATCTCCTCTGTTTGTTGAGGGGGTTCGTCCCCTAAAAGGGAACTAAAGGGGACGGAGGTCATTGAGAAGGAGGTAGAAGGTGTGCACGGGGGTGATGCGCACGTATTGCGTGTGTTTTGAGGCGGGGAACAGGCTTGGTGGTGGGGCTTGTGTTGCGTTGCAGCGGAAAGTGTGGCCGCTCTGGGAAGGGCTAGTCCCGGGGGGAAGGGGAAGTGGGGATTTGTGGCGTAGGCTTGAAGTGTGCTTCAAACATATAAATAACTTTGCTTTGGAAGCGTGAGCAGCAGCAGATGTAGTAGGGGGGAAAGATGACGAAGGAAGGTGACAGATCAGGAGCAGGAGCTGGGAAATGTGTGTGTGTGTATGCACTCCTGGATAGCACGGTGTGCTGGTGGGGGCGCGCTGGCATTGGACGTCTAAGCAGCAAGCATCCTTGGATAGAGGCACGGCACAGCTATCGTCCCGGGGAAGTACCTGGTTCTAAGGGAAGTACTTGGCCCTAACTCCCTCATTCTCTTGTACACACGCATCCGACAAACCCCGTCCCCCCCATGTTATGACTCGTGCATACTACACAGAACTTATACAACTTCGTGCACTGCCGCCAATCAACTGCTAGCAGGTTGTGAACTTAGGCGTCATTTCCCAGTTACCGTACTTCGTGAGCTTCATGTCAAGTGGAAAAAATAAGTGCCGAAATTCCTTGAAGGACATTCTTGATTGATCAGGAGAGGATAACGAGAATTCTTGCCGATCAAGTCCTGACAGCTGCGGCTGGGAAAAGCGCTAATCCAGCCACCAAACGGCCTTCCGACCGTTTGATTGCCAGAGTAGGAATGGTTCTAACAATATGGATGGAGGTCCTGCAAGTGTTAAAAATAAAACTCTAAAATGGCATGAGGATTTCATGAGGTTTTACGGTTTTTCCAACGATTTTAGGTAAAAGCATGAGTTCAGTTGTTTATCCTGGTTTTTGTTGTTCGTTTTCGCCCATATTGGCGCTCCTAAGCATAGCATTCCTGTAACACAAATGGCAATCCCTACCACATAGACTTTCCCGGTTACCGGGCAATTGTGGCCGTTAACGGGGTATGCTGAGACTGGTTACCAGGTGGATGGTTACCGGGGGTCGTTAATGGGGGTGGTTACGATTGGGTTACCGGGTTGATCGTTACTGGGCCGTAACCGGGGCTGGTTACAGGTTTGAAGATTATCGGTTTTCGTATTACTTTACAGCAGCAAGGACAGCCCACTATGGCCGGCACTCAGCTCAGTGTCTTTTTTTAAAAGTAATAAACAGGCCACTTTGGCGTTTGGAAAAAAGGAATGAACTGAGGCCGATCCTCAAAGCCCTCAGCACTCCTCCTCTGGCGGTCTAAGTGATGCCCAGCACTGTGCTGCGTAAGCATGATGCTGCGGTTGCGGCGGTCCTGGATGATCTCCATGCCGAGGTAGTAGCGCGCCTCTCCAAGGTCTCGTACTGCGAAGCAACCAGCTATGGCCGCCTTGGCGGCCGCGACCAATTGCAGGTTGTCCGCCGCCACCAGGATGTCGTCAACGTGCACGAGCAACCAGGCTCTCCTGCGCCTCCGCGCGTCTTGCCTTGGTGTCTGCCTGGCTCTCGATCACCATACGCATGATGTCCACCATCTCAGTAGTCCCACTCTGGAATGTGGAGTCCAAAGGGGGGTTGTGAAAAGAAGGGGGACACACCAAACAAACGGCATTGCATGCAAGGGGTAGTAAAGTGTGCAAACTGGGACACAGCAAAAATGCATTTCGATCTGGTACTGGCCCCACCTTGCACCTGGCGGAACCTGGTGGCTTCGCACACTTATGGATGCTGCTGGGGGTGGGCTGCATGGGGTTGCCATCACCGCCATCCCATATCTTGAGCCACGTGGCCACGAACGTGTCCCTGTGGTGTTGGGGGACGAGGGGGCGCGACATTGATGTTCATGGATTGTTTAAGAAGTGGCGGGAGAACTGATCCCGACACCAGGAAGTACTGCATACCTGAGCCCTGTCGTACTCTTCCACCATCTTGTCGCTAAGTCTGGAGCCAGTTACATTGAACTGGTCCTGGATGTCCTTCATCGATCGCTTGAACTTAGCCTTGCTGTTGTCAATGAGATTTATGGCATCCTTGACGGAGAAGTCCTCCGTACTGTACAGCGGCCCGCCCACCATGTCCTGCCATTTCTTGAACACAATCGGGATGATTGGCTGCAACTTGTCCGCCTTAGAGCCCATGACGCCTTGTGAGCGCCTGAGGGCCTTTGCAGCCTCCTCCAGAGTTAGCCGAACGAAGTCCTGGTGGAACTTCTTTGTGCTTTTCTTGAATGTTGGGAGGCTGCCGCCTCCATCACCCTCATCCTCCGCGGAGCGCTTGCTCTTCTTGGCCTTGGGTGGAGCCGCCTGAGGGCGGCCCCTCTTGGCCGCGGGGCGCCTCTGTGCAGGGGCAGCAGTGAGCTGGACAAAATGCGAGTGTCAGTGTTGCGGATAGCCTTTGCGATGCACGCAAACAATTCCACATGACACATACCTTGCCCTGGTTCCTCCCATTCTTGATGTCGCTGAGCTCGAGCTCCTCGTCGGAAGCGACAAGCTCAGCCGCATCAGCTTCGAGCTCCTCCTCCGCACAATGAATCGGACTATGAACAGGAGGAGCTCGAAGCCGA